CAGTAGGGATTAATGAGTGGGCCTACATAAGCTACTGTTGCCCAATTGCCTAAGAAATTAATTCCTATGCTTGGTATATAGTTTTATATTCAAGATATATATTGGCATGGACCGAAGGTTAATGAATATGTGTGGGCTGAACTCCATCAGCCACTATGGGATAACCGCGTCGTATAAATATGCTGCCAACCTTAGTTAAGTATAGTTCAGTATATTTAGGGTAGTAGGCAATGCCTTTGAAGACCTTACTGACAACAGTATGCATGAAATATCCAACATAAAGTATGTTACTATAAAATAGTGAGTAACATATGCACATGTACAATTTTTATCTATAGGTTTGACCTTGAATATACTAATCTATACCGAGAACAGGAATTAATTTCTAAGGAAATTAAAAAGCTGAGCTGGCAAAATCAGTATGACAACTAGAAAGCAAACAGGGTAGACTGGGGAACCCACTGATGAGCCGGACTCCACGTAGCTGTGTCAAGGACACCTTTAAAACAGGCGTCTGGGCTTCTAGCCAGTACGTGTGCGAACCGTATAGAAAATTACAACATTAATTAAAAAAAAACCTGAGAAACACAACGCAGTGAGCGTGTTACTCACCTTGCCATTCAATGACCACGACAATAGAAGAACGTTTTGTGCCAGTTCTACAAGCGGCAACGGGAGAGAGGAATTTCTCCGATCAGAGCTCAACTGCAGAGGAAAAAGTGCAGGATGAAAGCTAGCTTGTGGCCCAGAAGAGGTGGGGGCAAAAGAGTAAGCGAAATTGCGTTATTTACCAGATAAATCTTGTTCCCCAAAGACTGACAAAGACCGTCAGGCAGAGCACTGGTCAAGACGGTCTTGACAGAGGCGTCTACTACGCCGATGAGAAACGTGACTCCAGTCAGCATGTGGGCAAGTTTTGTGGCTCTTTTCAGCGCTTTCTTCTCTTCCTCAAATGAAGTGAAATCTAGCCATGATAAATCGTAATCCGGTCTGGTCAGACTATATGGAAAGGAAACAGAAAGAGCAGGGCATTTTGGGAAATGAGAGGAAAAAGAAAAGGATGAGATTGGTAAAAAAAAAACAGATTGGGGGCTCGTCACGCCAGGTTCCACCCCTACAATTTATTCAGTCAACTGATGCATGCAAGAGGTACGGGGAATGGAGAACCTATCCTTACGACCCTTCTGTGCAGAGTGAGTTTGTATTCCGAGCAAACATTATAGAAAAATGGAAATACTGCGAAAGAAAATCGACCTGATCTCGTGGATTTGTAAGTGACATCAACTCGC